ATCTCACATATCAACCTGCTTCTTTATTTGTTATGAAATACTGTTCAAAAATGCTTTTTGCAATGGGATGTCATCTTTTCATTAAGCTACAAAAGTGAAGGTGGAAACCAGCAGCCTACCTCCCACTTTGGTAGGCCATGACTATTAATAAGGAATTTTGTCTTCTCATCTTATTGTTCCCTAAAAAATATCAGAGATCCTAGACTTCCTGTTCATCAAATTATTACCCTCATTTTAATCTAGACAACTGGCACATGCATGGCCATAGAAAGAATGTAAGTACTAAATATTACATAATTCAAAACCTGCATCAACTGTGTTGCTTATTTTTTGATTAAAGCATGTTTAGGATGCAGTCCTTTAGGACTTGATGTAAAGGCCAAATGTTTGGTATCAGCCAAACAGGAAGCATCATTCCAAGTTTGCAGCTAATTGGCTGATCTCTAGGGGTTACAGGCCCACTGAGCACAGACAGCATGGACTCATTAGAGCTTCCTACCATTAAAACAAAAACAGCAAGGAAAAGAAAAGATCATGGTAGGAAGTCTGTGTCAAGGGCACAACATGAATCAAGGAAGCAATAATTAAGCAAATTAGACTGTTGGTTGAATAGAACTGTTCAAGAAAAAAGAAATTTGGAGTGAGTTGCCATTGAAACTTGATCTGTTATCCTTTCTTCTCTTTTTGTGCTTTCTGACTTGGCTTCATTTCGTACTAAAATTGAGGTATGAAACTATCTCTTCATGGCTGCAAGGGACAGTCAACTGTACTTGAACTGGAAAACAGTATGCACAACACATTCTGCACTGGCTGAAGAGATGCAACAACTAAATCCCAGTTATCATGAAAACAACCCAGGAATGGAGAATGTCTGAAAGGCATACACAGCCACACAATCCTTAAAGATCTGTGCTTTGTGATAATGATGATGAGCCAAAACCCAGAGATTAAAGTGAAAGAATAACTGTAGTTTCATAACCCTGACATGATTATAGCAACTGCTAGCAGTTGTATAATTTGGAATTCAGTTTTTCTCACTCTTTATAGATTCTAGGATTATGCAAAAGCACACCTATATACGTATAGGTAAATATATACATGCATGTTTTTCTTCTGTTCTGCTTGTCATTCCCTCATCTTCTGACTATGCACTATGCACTTCTACGCAACATAGAAATACTCAAAATGCATTTGCAGAAACAGAAAGCCTACTGCATTACTCTAGTAGATAACAATGTCTATACTCTGACAGAAATATTTATAAAAGTAGCACAGTGGCAGGCCTGTCATTTTGTAAGTGTCATCTTGGATTAATTTCTTTCTCCACTGAATCAAAATTACCATTCCTTAAGATTCTTTTAGAACTAAAAATAAATCTAACTGTGAAAAACTCTCAAATAGTTACCAGAAAATTCCATATTAGAAATGGATGGAGCTTCTTAGATTAAATTTGCATTTTGACCACAGCCTGATGTATTGAAGCTTGTCTTTCAGTTTGGCCATACCAATATAGCCAAAATTCTGTCTTCAGCCACTTATGTCTCAGAGGTGTAGCAAGCTCAGTGGTATGCCTGTCATTCAGCCTGTGCCACGGTTTAACCCCAGCTGGACACTAAGTACTGCACAGCTTCTCACTTAGTGTGTGTGTCCTACCTGATGGGTCAGAAGGAAGAATCAGGGAAAAAATACAACTTGTGGGTTGAGATAAGAACATATTAATAATCGAAAGTAATCAAATTAATAATGGTAATACTACCAGTTGTAAAACGAAAGGGAGAGAGGGAGAGACAGACAAAATCTAAGAAGAGTGATGCACAGTACAATTGTTCACCACCTGTACACTGATACCCAGACCATCCACAAGCCAAAACTGGTTCCTCTCCTGGGTAACAACCCTGGTTTATACACTGGAAATTTATTCTGTGCTATGGTATGGAATATCCCTTTGGCCAGTTCAGATAAGCTGTCCTCGCCATGTTCCCTCCTGGCTTATTGTGCACCTATTCACTGGCAGAGTATGAGAGAATGAGAAATCCTTGATTTTGGGTAAACACTACTTAAACATCACTGTGTTTGTTATCAACTTTATTCTTGTACTAAATCCAAAACATAGCACTGCACCTGCTGCTAAGAAAAAATAAACTCTATTTTGGCTGGAACCAGAACAGGTTCTAACTTGTCAGATGAAGAACTGCTTTGCCAATTAAATACTCATTCAACCTCCACACTATCCTTAACCATCACTGATATACCTGTCATTTACTTGATTTAGGAATTTACAGATCTTACTTTGGCAAGATCATGTGCATAGCTCATCCAGAAACAAGTGCCACTTTGTTTGAGTCACTTTTCCAAACATCATTGATCATTGTTTAGCAGTGCTTTCCACCAAATCAAATGTCAAATCAATTTTTTGGACAGCCTTTAGAAACTGATTGAAAAACAGAACCTCACCTGCCCATTAACTTTCAAAAGATGACCAAAGACATAGCACTTTAGAGTCCTCTTACACTGTTAATATGACAATTAACTTTCACTTTCCTGTATTTACCTGTAACCATCTGAAAGATTAGTTTAGTCAGAGTACAATGTAAAATCAAAATATTACCACAAAATCTTACATCTTGCACAACACACGCAAGAAGCTTATTCTTAATTCAAGAACATTAAGTGACTGTAGAATAAATCCACAATCCATTAAATAAACATCCTCAGAAGATACAAAAAGACAGAATCAGATTTTAAAATGTGGTTAACTGGAGAACAGTTCTTAAAGAAACTGAATAGTAAGTAGCTAGAGACATTTTCCTCTAGCTTATTAGCTGTCATCAACCTGGTTCCCCAAAATTCATGGCATTTTAGCTTGCATCCTAGTTCACATCAATTCTACTTTAGAATATAGACTGGAAAAAGTTATCACGTATATTTAGTTGAATTGAAAAGATAATCAGTTGAACAATTTTGGTGATGATGAAAACGTTTATTTGCTTTTCCTACTATGAATTTTGCTTGTTTTGATGCCTTGAGAGGCTACCTAGACAGAGGTGTTAAAGGAATAAAGTAGGTATTTATTAAAAAGGCCTTCAAAGGATACACCTTGGGCAGTACAAGAGCCCGGCCATGGCTCCACCCAAGATGGGTGCTGGGTCACACATTTTCACACTTTTATAAGTTTGGTCCATTTACATATTGGGGTTAATTGTCCAATTACAGCTCCAGGTTATGAAATCCCATCCTCCCAGATTGCTCTCCTCAATTCACTGTTGTTCATACTTTTTGGGCCCGAAGCTGCAACAGTGTCCTTGGTTCTCAGGCTGGAAAAGGATTGTTTTGTCTAACTAAACTGTGAAGAGAACTCGCTAAAACTTCATATGAAGTTCAGAGTTACATACTAATGCAGTACAGAATCTGGAAAAGATGAAAGCTAAAACTTAAGGCATCATCCATAATAGTCCAGTTTCAGTGAGGTCAAAATTCACTTTCTGAAGCAGGAACAGTAGAAAATTTCATGTTTCCTTTGGCTTATCTGTTCCATCACCTTTCTAACTCTGTTCAAGCCAGCTCAGTCACATTATCACAGTCTTCAGAAGGCAAGGAATATCCACCTAATAGCATCAATTACTTATATTGTTTCTTTACAGCAACTCTTCCCTGTGCCACCTAACATTTTACCTAGTCTGTTCATCAGGCATTTTCTAAACCCAGACAAGGTTTATTTTGTTTGGCTTGCAAAAGATACAATTGAAAAGTCGATCCCAGAAGCTTGAGATGAAAAACGAAAAACATATAAATCCAACTTTCTTGTTTTTCTGAAAAGTTTAACTAGCCTTACAGTTTCAGGTGGATCTGTAAGTGAGAGAGATGCAATTTAAAAAATTTTGCATATAAAAGACTTTAGAGAGATAACTAACAGAGAGAACTAAGTTAGACACAGAATACACTATTTTTTTAAAACTGCTGAAAAAGTCACATTTTTGCTACTTGTTTTTTATTCCTAACATATCACATATTTTAAACGTTTATCTTCTTAATGCATTATGAAACTAGGTATAAAAAAGCATCTAAAAATTAAAATATTAACGCACTGTAGAAATTGTCAGAACAAACGGGCACATGTTCAAAGAGAAAAAATGGTAACTGTTAAACATGTATGGTGACATGCAGTTATTTCACTTCTAATACTCTTCTTAGAGTTGTCTCCTTCTGGGGTTTTGTTTTTTGGTTTTTTTTTTCCCCATCATAAATTATTGATATTTGCTCCAGAAAGTTTAACATAGTATATAAAGTTAGCAGCAACCCTATTGATATGTTGCATGGCTGAAGATTTTTCTCTAAGCATTTCAAATCTAAATGTAATTGAATACAAAATAATGTATTTACACTACAGGTAAGATTCATCCTCTTGCTTATTTTGAGTTACCGCATTGAAGCTACTCACTTGAGCATCCTGCACAATCACTGGTAAAAGACATATCTTCAGAAGGTAAGGAAACTCACCTGTCAGGATAACCTGAAAAACCTTCCTTTTCCACTGACACACTCAGACACTGTATTTGAATTACAGTTTTCGAGTTTCATCTCAACAGAATCCCATGGGCCCACATACTTTTAGATGTGCAGGCAAATGCATCTGTGCTTAACAAAGTCAGACTATGCTCATGGCCAGGTAAAACACAGCTGCCAACAACAATTACAAAGAATGTCTAGTTCACCAAATAGAATTCATGCACATGTATCTAGTCTTTTTTGTTCTTTTAAAATATGAAAAAAAGCTTTTCTCCAAGTAAACAGAGAAAAAAAAATCTGTCAACTTTAATAGGTAAAATATCCTTTTAAACAGGTAAATAAACAGGTAGATTTGGGTAAATTTTCTAAAACAAGAGAAATGAAATTTAATGTGTAAGAGCAACTGCTTTGTGGAAAGCAGATTACAAATTTCTACCTTGATTAGCATTTAATTAATTCCATAAAGAGTTTATAAATGCTGCAAAGAAACATACCTGGCATCAACTCAGCAGTAGGGAATATCTTCTCTAGCTTCATTCTACTCTCCGTTAAAAACTCTTCTTTGGTTATTGGAAGATCCAGAGCATTTTGAATAAGCTCTGCCACTTCTGGAGCTTGTCTACCTAGAACCCTGGATTTCACATCCCAGCCGTAGGTCTTTCCAAAACGCTCACAGATCTCTCCATACACTTTTGCATAGAGACTCTCAGTATCTGGAAAAAAAAAGATTATGAACAAACAAGTAAGCAGCTGGTCTTGCCAAGAGATCACATAAATGGTCAGACATAAACTGCCAGGAGCCAGAGGGCACTTAGCAAAGCGGACAAAATGCCTCCCTTTATTTGCAAGAGGGAACCAAGGCTTCTACCATCACTCAGAGGTCTTCCAGGTTTTCCAGGCTGTCATTTCTGCATTAAGAAGAGGTAACTTAGGGTCTCAACAAATAACTATCTGGACCTGCTCTTCCATCACCTTTCTTTACTATTCAATTTAGCAAGCAGTGTCTTAATTAAAATACTCTATTTATGATTTTCATGAGAAAAAAAAGAAAGGAAGGAAGGAAATCTGGTACTTGGGGGGAATACCATTACATATTCCATATAAATTGAGAAAAGAAAAAATATTTAATTATTTAAGAGTGTCTTCGAGAGGAAGCTTCTAAGTGCCTTCAAAGACATCATGGTCATTATTACAGCGCTGCTGGCACCACTGCACTTACAAGAGATTGCTCAAGCTAAACACACTCACTTGTATTTCCAGGGGATTTCAGACAAGAGTAAACTTCAAACTGAATTTGGGCAATGATACTATCAGCTCATATGTCAAAGGTGGTTTTAGGCTTAAAGCTATATTTTTAAATACAAACAAACAATTCGTCATTTCCTCCCCTCCTCCCCCTGCAAATTTTTGAAAAAGAAGGTCATTAACATTTAATTTAACACGAATATGGGGACGAAATGTACTTCCAGCTCTTGACTTCATTTCAGTAAAGATCTCAAACACTGGCTTTTCTACCAGTCTGTTTATCTTTTTAAGTAGTCTCCTCTGAAAAGTCGGCTACTGCTGTTAACCATACTTTAATTTCCTTCTCACACACATGTCTGCCTTCTGTATAGCTAAAGAGATGTTTATTATGATCACTTTAGAAATGAAAGGCAAAAGTAAGGAAAGAAGGAAGTTACTCTTATGAGATTTATTTAGAAAATTAAGGACTTCATTTATCAACATGTCCTTTGCCATGTAAAAATATTTTTAATGGAGATAATAAAATAGTGAAGTTATTTATGTCGATATTGTGTCACTTTCTGAATACATAAGAATTATGCAGGAGTGATTAAAAAACTTTAAGCTTTAACAAAGATACTGTGAAGAGAACAGTCTGAAGAAAGAAGCACAGAGCCTATGAGTACAACACATGTATGTCTGATAAATGCTCCCTAACTCACCACAGTAATCACCACAGTGATCTGAGATCAGCAAAAGACTCTGATCTGAAAGCAAAGGAGAAACACAGGGGCCCATTTCACCATCATGTGAACATACAGCAGTGCAGAATACATTCTCTGCCATCTGCCAGAGTGCTCTAGTCCATGTCTCCTTTCAGTAACTAGAGGGGACATTGGGCCAAAAGACCAGATGAAGACCCAACATACTTGTCTGGAGTTTTTAACAGAGTGGCAAAGGGTTCACAAAAAACTCTCACCTTAAAAACAGAGGCAAACCCCTCTCCCCACCTGTACTACTCTTTGTAAACACTCCATAAACAACTACAGTTAAGGGAACAAAATTACAAGTGATCTTGGAGACCCCTCAAACACACAGGAAAGTGAAACACATGTAAATGGGCTCTGAAAAATTTTAAGCTGGCTAACACAAGAAAGAAAAAAAGAAAAAAAAATAATAACAGAAAGTCCTCCATTTTATTTGAAAATGCCAACCGGTACTTTCTGTAAGCTAGGAATGTAAATTAAGAATACAGTTTTTAAAATTCACAGTTCTCACTTTCCTTCTTTTTAATAAACTGGTTTTTCTTCTATATTTCAGGCTCACCAGGTGAAGGACATAAAATCCTTATCTTAAGTTTAAATTTGAAACTGAAAATCAATCCTTATCCTATTAAATAGTACATATCAAGCTAAGTAGAATTAAAACAAAGCAAGGAAACAAAGTTCTAGAACATGAATATTTTCCTATGAGTCTACAATACTTACATGTTAATCTATTTGAAGTGAATACTATTTTTAATAGTTTCCTGCATTTTAAATATCACATAGCTGACTTATGAATTAAATTTTATTTATTTTCCTTAAAAAAAGCTTAACAATATCCAGATTGCAGACCTAAAAGCAGTCTTTTATGCCATGTTGCAGTTTGTCAATGGAAGAGCATTTATGAACAAGTTTGAGTCAAACCTATTAAAAGAGGTAATGGCTTACTTATTCATACTGTGTTAGAAAGTAGTTTTCTAGGTGCTGAGAAACAAATAAAACACAAACCAACCAAAGAAGAATACCCCCAAATTATTCAACCTGTTTGAATCCCACATTTAATTTAAATATACCTAAATCCCATAAACCAATGTATATGCTCCAACAAGCAGGATGCCAGAGAGCCTTCCTTCCTTTCCTCCCCTGATTGACTATAGTTTAAATACCTGGCTTACAAAACCTTCAACTGTTCTTCCAAAGAGATCATTTTCACTCTGCCTTAAATCATAGCATTTGAACTCTGGACATTGACCTTTTGTAAAATTCTACATATTTGTATTGCTTGAAAATCAACATGATTTTAATTTTCATGAGTAGATGACAAAAGTATGAATGTGGACATTTTACTTGCTCAAACAGATATGTTACACTACAGCACATGAATAAAATCTGAAATCTGAGGAAAAAATTTTGTACACGTACATTGTAAAATCCAACTGGAATCTGAGAAGATCACTGCTGATAAAGCTGCATTTCCTATACACATGTATAACTAAGGACATGTTTCTTTTGATTGAAGACAAATGAAGATCTATATGTTCCCCTAGTAATTACAGAGCAGTAAATAAATACTAAATAATGATACAACTTCAAGATTTCTTATTCCTATTAGAAAGGAGGAATCTCAAAAAAAGGGCAGGCTAGCTTTTTTACCACTGCAACAAGAAAGAAATCACAGTTCAAAGGATTGATCCAAATTTAAATATATCAGTGAAGCCTAATTTCATACTGCTATAAATCTACTATACAAACAAATTGTGTCTAGCTCCCACACACAAATAAAACCCATTGATGAAATGAAACAAGCAAGAAGAATTAGAATTTCAACTCAAATGCCTAATTATAGGCACCTACTGGTATTTACTCTGGTATGCCCAAGACATCCACACACATCCAATATTAAAAGGTAATTTGGGCAAGACTCATACTTCACATCATGAGCAGCCAGATTCCCTGCAGCACCCCAAGTGTTTCACACTCACACACACATTTCAGCAAGCAAATGCAGCCCCAGCTGCCAGCCTCCATCAGGAACATAAATTGAGAACACAACAGGATATATGTGGCAGTGGCTTGTCCTAATAATGGGAAGGAAAAGCAAGAAGTCTCAGGTTCTGCAATTTCGAGTAAATGCATAAGTTTTCAAAATACTCTTTTTATGTCTAGCTCTCATCTCGAGATATCTTTTACATGGAAATTATCAGCACAACATATTGTCCATCTGCTCGCTAAATTTCACTAGTAATGAATAATATTCATTGCCTAGTCACATATCATCTTCTAGTCCTTTTTATAGTGACCCATCTTCAATGTAAAAGCACAGTCAGCTCCACTGGTGTTGTTTAGAGTCTGTAAAAGCCAGCCACAATAAACACAAATAAAGTGACTAAAATGACAGAGGCACTGGATTAGTCAATTTGCGATCTGGCACAAAAATATGCTGACATGTATTCAGAAAGACCTTCAGGTCACTTGGCAACACACCACAGGGAATATATGAGTGCATGATCTGCTCAAATCACTGCAGAGTCACAAACAGAGGTGCAGATCTACCTAGGCTGGGGCTACAGCAAACATCAAAACAGTATGTAAGCGTTATCTTTATCACTCACACATAAAGACAGTTTAAGACAGAAAAATTCTGATTTAATGAATAAAAAACTTAATTTTTAGAAGGCTACACACCTTCTAAGAGAATATTATGTTATTGCTATTATAAAATAATCTCTACTTTATCAAGGAGATTAGATTAGGCATGAAATCTCCTTTTAGCCATAGATCACCTTCATCACTAGCTTTGAGTTCTTTGTTTAAATAACCCATCTCAATTTTGCATTAAGCTTCCCAGATGAAATACACCTATGATTTACCCTTCTGCAAGGAGCCTAAACCATTTTAAACAGTTTTAATTGTGTGCATTCAATATATTTCCGTAATCCAAAATCAGACCTTAGACAACTAAACGGCAGGATTTTTTTTGTTGTTGTTGTTTTTTTTTGGTTTTTTGTGGTTTTTTGGTAAGAGATAGAAAAGTGATCAAAGAGAAGAATTTTAAGCAAAGCAACAGGTTTCTTGTGTCCATAGCTGTGAGGCAGATTTCTATTCACATGTAGAAGAGAATAATTTTCAGTATCCAATTTAGCCAAATTTAGACACAGTCAGTCATTTTTACCAATGTTTTGGCCCAGGACTGAGAAAGACTCATTAGATTTTCTCACCATCAATACTGAATGAACACATAGGTGACTATGATTTTGCTTTACTATCAGTCTTTCACTTTATTCCCATAATCTCTTTAGAGTACATAACAGTGTAAAAAACCATACAAATTACTCAAATAGAAGTAATTGGGGTACAAGAGATAAATATAATTGTAAATCAGAATAAAATTATAGAATTGGGAATTCTTCCTTTGCTTTTTCACAACTCATTTGGTGGTATTTAGTACAGTATAAACTGTTAACCTGCAAAAAAATCTATGTAAGAGCTGAAATGGGGACAAATTTGGGCTAGATCAATCAAGATTAGATATTTCCTCTACATTTAGAGTTACAGAAATGACATTCACGTTTTCTCACACTTCTGGATTAAGATATAACACAGGCCTTTGTGTATTTATTCTCCCATTGTTATCAACTGAACAGCGTTAAAGAACATGGGATTTAAACAAAGCAGTGGCAAAGCCAAAATAGTGACAGATTTCCCATCAGAAACACTTGCTTTGTCTAGGCCAGAGCATCATATGCTCGGTCATTGACCCTTATGCCCACCTATTTCAATATCAGCAAAATCATGTACTCACAGTTCTTCTTCCTTTCTCTCTCTCAAGCACACAAAAGACATCACTGAGCAGCTCACTGACTGGTGTGTCAAGTCTGTGAGACTCAGGAGTAAAAAAAATGCTGCAGCACTGCATGAAAGCCAGGGAATGGATGTCTTTCAGCTAAGTCTCTGTACTCCAAAGAGATCTCTCATCAATCTTGCCATTCTACAACCTCTCTCCCCACAGAAAGTATGTGCTCTTAGCTCATCCAGTTACACAAATTAACCAATTCTTGAAATATGTGGATTGCAACTGAGGATGTGAGTATCAGTGAGCCATTCAAGACATTTCCAAATGGTATGTGGACTTACCACAAACTTTAGGAAGCAGCACTGGCAAGATAAAAGCCACATGAATATCCACAAACTTGCAAGATTCTACTGGTGGTTTTGGTAAGCAGAAAAAGAGAAAAGAATGGGAACCAATGCCCTCTGAACAGCAAACTTAAAATGGAACAAGGAACATCCTCTCAATGCAAAGAAGAAGTCAAGGTATTACTATCCATAATTTATAAATTACAGCTCCATCTCAAAAAAGACCCAAAAACCCCACAAAACACAAAACCAAAAATGGTCACCGAGGGAGAAATAGCCTATGTCACTGAATAAACATTTGTGCATAGCTCATTCCTCATAATTTTTTCTCTCTTATTTCTTTCAGAGAGAATCCAAGACTTTGCTCTTAGAGTATCAGCAGTCAAACAAGACAGAAAAAACCAATACGAGCAATGCAAAAGAGTAGCAAGTATACAACTGTCACCAAAACAGGTCTGAAACTGCAAAAGTTAAACCACAAGAATCACTTAGGAATTAGTGCTGAAGCCTCCTGAGTTAGCTAAGCAAATAGAAAATAAAGGAGATTTCCTTTGTTTGTTTTTTTTTTTTAATAAACAATCTATAGTACACAACTATCTCGCAATTTGTGTCAAAAGGTCCGTTTTGCACTGCCCCCTCAACATTCTTCCATTCACACTTTCATTACTTTGAAAGTTAATTTAAAAATGCATGACTGTGGTTAGCCATGATGGCTAGCAGGAAAAAAAAAACAAACTGACCTTGAAATCACTTACAGCAGCCCAGTAAAAGTAGGGATTAAGAAGGCAGGCAACAGAAATTACCTTTTGTATAATAGCCTGTTAGAGCACCAGCTCAGAAAATGAAACTCAGTCTCTCAATCCATCCTAAGGGCCTAAGGCTGTTTCTCCAGCATACCTTGACATTTTTCATGCTATTTTGTTATGTACATATACACACTTTTATACAGATAAACCATTTATTTATATGCTTGTACATATATATATATATAACTATAGCATACAGGCATTTATTTTCATATATTTACTTATATATAGTGTATGTATAGAACTGTGTTTTACAGGCAAAAGTGTCTTTTAAAGAATAATACTCAGGATGAGTACTAGCCAATGAATACAAACCAACCTGGAGCCTCTAGATTTAAAGGCTCATTAAAAGAATGTGGTTCAAAATACTTAGCACTGAAAGTACACAAGGAAAAGGAATGTTCAGTTCTTTACTGTAGTATTCCCCCATTCCTTCCATGAACTTG